AGTTAGTATATTACTGTTGTAGTGAGTTAATACATTACTGTTGTAGTGAGTTAGTATATTACACATGTATTGAGTTAGTATATTACTGTTGTAGTGAGTTAGTGTATTACTGTTGTAGTGAGTTAGTATATTACACATGTGGTGAGTTAGTATATTACTGTTGTAGTGAGTTAGTGTATTACTGTTGTAGTGAGTTAGTATATTACACATGTGGTGAGTTAGTATATTACTGTTGGAGTGAGTTAGTATATTACTCATGTGATGAGTTAGTATAATACTGTGGTAGTGAGTTAATATATTACTGTTGTAGTGAGTTAGTGTATTACTGTTGTAATGAGTTAGTATATTGCTGTTGTAGTGAGTTAGTATATTACTGTTGTAGTGAGTTAGTTTATTACTGTTGTAGTGAGTTAGTCTATTACACATGTGGTGAGTTAGTATATTACTGTTGTAGTGAGTTAGTATATTACTCATATGTTAATATATTAAGCAAGTTGTGATTTAAAATATTAAGTATATGGGGAGTTAATATATTAAAAATGAGGCGAGTTAATAGACCAAACATGTGATGAGTTAATAGACCAAACATGTGATGAGTTAATATATTAAACATGTGACAATTAAATAAAGTACACATGTTGGAGAGTTAATATATATTCATCAATGTGCTAAGAAACAGTTAAATTTTCAATACAAAACTTTAGGGAACTACTCGTTTAAGAATGATATTAAAAAATTTTTCTTAAAACTAACAGCATCCATTGATTAAAACATTAGTCTTTATGATAGTCTTTTAAATAATTTTCTTTATTGTCATAACTTTCAAAAATTTGATTTTAATTAATTTAATTTCCACATTTTACTTTCAGAATTGTGTAATTTTTTTGATTAATTAAAAAAACACTTAAACTTCTGCAAGTAACTGATTAACTTATGTGGTAAATATTTGCCTTCTAGACTTTAAAGAACACTTAACATCATAATTCATAGATTGAACTGATCATATTGTTTTCTTCATTCCTTAACTTCTTAAACTTCCTTACCATTGAAACTTCATTTCCTTTCAGAGTTTCTTCCCTAGTTCTGCTCTCCTCTAAAGCAATGACAATGGTGCGTTCCTTCCCCTCCAGAGCTGTGCTTAGTTCCTCCATATGCAGTCTCATGTCCAGTATGCTTTCAGTGTCTGATGTCTGAGACAGTTTCTCACATTCTTCAATTAGTTTATCTAAGTCTTCTTGTCTTGACTTCAGCTCAGATTTTAAATACTGCAGAAAATATCAGCACTTAGAATAATGAAACAACTAACTAAAAATAACAAGTTTCCAACATGTGTAAACTGATCAGTACTTAGAATAATGTGAAAAACTTCATGAAAAGTTAACATTTTCCAATAATGAAAATGTATTTTCAATAGTTACTCTCATCTTCTCATTTCTAGTTTTTCTGATATGCAAACTTTTTTATTTGCCACCAAATCTCACGTGTTTCCATGTGATATTACTGGGTTGCTGCATGCAACAACCCTCTACCAATCAAAATGCCACACCATCTCCTAGTACAGCTGGCTCCCTCTATACCAATTGTTCAACCATCAATTCAAGATTGGGCAAGAAAGTAAGATGCAAAGAAGTTGAGGGGAAGGCTGGGAAGTGAGTTAGGTGACGAATCTTATAGGAGGACATCTGGAAACAAAAATATGTTTCTCCTACCAATGAAAAATATGCTAAACAGATAAACTGTCAGTAAGAGTAACAGGAGAAAGACCACGAGTGGATTCCAAGGAAGGAAGAGAGAAGATTAAGAGCCAAGAAAGGAAGAAGTGCAGGCCAAATAATCATGGGTTTCACAAACAGGATAGAGGAAGTGATCAGGAATAAAGATGAGAATAGAAGGTAGAGACGTAGGGGCAAACACAAAGAAAGTGATCAGGAATAAAAATAAGAATAGGAGGTTGAGATTTAGGGGCAAACACAGAGAAAGTGATTAGGAATAAAGATGAAAATAGAAGGTAGAGACATAGGGCAAACACAGAGGAAGTGATCAGGAATAAAGATGAGAATAGAAGGTAGAGACATAGGGCAAACACAGAGGAAGTGATCAGTAATAAAGATAAGAATAGAAGGTAGAGACGTAGGGGCAAACACAGAGAAAGTGATCAGGAATAAAGATAAAAAGAGGAGGTAGAGACATAGGGCAAACACAGAGGAAGTGATCAGTAATAAAGATAAGAATAGAAGGTAGAGATGTAGGGGCAAACACAGAGGAAGTGATCAGGAATAAAAATGAAAATAGAAGGTAGAGACATAGGGCAAAAACAGAGGAAGTGATCAGGAATAAAGATAAGAATAGAAGGTAGAGGTATAGGGCAAACAAAGAGGAAGTGATCAGGAATAAAGATGAAAATGGAAGGTAGAGACATAGGGGCTATAGGGCAAACAAAGAGGAAGTGATCAGGAATAAAGATGAAAATGGAAGGTAGAGACATAGGGGCAAACACAGAGGAAGTGATCAGGAATAAAGATAAGAATAGAAGGTAGAGACGTAGGGGCAAACACAGAGGAAGTGATCAGGAATAAAGATAAGAATAGAAGGTAGAGGCATAGGGGCAAACACAGAGGAAGTGATCAGGAATAAAGATAAGAATAGAAGGTAGAGGCATAGGGGCAAACACAGA